GCCTTGGCAGAGCATTTAAATTTAAATTCAGATTCAGATTTCTATTTAATCTAGAAATTTAAGTTGGCTCAGCCAACCAGCAGGTGTGAGATGATGCTTTACACTGAAAATAAGTTGTTAATACTAAATAAACCAAACAAGCAAAATGCCGCAGACAGGAGGGGGATTACGGAGCTCCCTCACTGCGATTCGCCTGCGCCTTCTAAGTGCCCCCCTCTACCCCCCTCACCCTGTTTCAGGGCGTTTAGAAGGCGCAGGCGAACTGAAGTCAGGGAGCTCCGTAATGCCCCTCCAGGACAGGTAACAGGTAGGTAAACGAAGCCTGCTTCGGATTACTTCGGATCAGACTTCGTAGTCGTAGTGTGATGGGGGGGGGGGGATAACCCAGCGCGCTATTCAAACCGTCCGCACCGCGCATTTAGGGAAAGGAAAGGGCTGGAGAAAAGGGAAGGGATTTTACGCCAATAACTGCGTTAAGGGCATTTGGGTAATGTTCATTAAATTGCAGGGGTTTGCGCTGGAAGCCACCAAGCCGAATGGTTACGAATATCGGAAAATCCTTTGAAAGGGTCCCAGAAGCGTCACTGCATTAAATGCGCTTCAATGCGCATAGAAATTCACATAGAAGGTGACACATTGGTGATGTATTAAATGCGCGTAGTTTGCACTAAAGGCGCATGAAATGCGCATTGAATACTGTAATGCGCTTTAAAAGCGAACTTGGACAAGTGTTGGCCAACTCTTTGATTTTTGCCTGCGACTGGAGGACCCAGTCAAACGGACTTAGTCAAATTAACATCATTTTGATGTCATGGTCAAGATTTTGTCATTTTCGTTTTACGTTTTGGTATCATTTAATTTAATGATCAAAATGAGAAGGGTAGCTAAAATTTGACATGTGATTCCTACACAATAACATGTCGATTGGCTTCGAAAAAAACATTTCCGACAGTGATTGTGACTGCAACTCTGAGATCACTGATCACTGATGAGAAGACAGACGGGCCGAAGCACTAGAAACAAAGAAATAAAATAATAAAAGTTTGTGTATATGATATCATTTTAATTGGGTAGCATAGATCAGAACAAATACTACAAGAAAAGAAACATTACGATGAGCAATAATTAAAACAGGCTTTGGAATGATAACAAACAAAATTAATAAATAAATATAATGAACGCAACATAAAATATATGTACAACATTTTCCGTAAAATATTTGTTCAAAAGAAACTAAGCAAGAATTATGACTAGTACGAAACATGCTCAATGTGATGTAATATTTTTCTCTATGTTTTCATTCATATATGTACTTTTCATACAGTATCATGCTTACGCAGTATTTTCAAAAATGAGATCTCAACTTGGTCCAATTTTAGATGTACTTGCACTCAAAAATATCTGTGAGCTTTGTCAAAGCTGTAGAAACATAAAGTTACTTTGTTCTTCAAACTAAGATTCATCTTTAAAAAAGAGGAAAACACAGATGGGGTAGGTTTAAAGTAAACCACTTCTTCTTATTGTTGACATGGTGTCTGACTAAGTCATTTGGGTTTCCAGATAATTATTAGTATTTAATCAGAGTGAAGGGGAGCAATAAGAGACATAATAAAATATTGTAAGGCTCAGAATACTGCAAAATACTCCACCAGTCTACTAATCAGCTGCCAAGACAGATAATAAAATTTAAAAATCAGGGCAGATGTTCTGGACGACAAAAGTAAACCGTGCTTAATCGAATGGGCCCTCAATCATTTCTTTTAGACTAGCGTCATTCCGTTTATCGCCGTTCTTTTCGAAAGTTCTAGATTTTAGGCATTATCATTATTCTCAGCAGATTTGGCCACACTTAGCCAAGAAAATACAAATCACACATTTCCTACTTACAAGAGGTCAGTCTTACAGAAATTAAAAATTAGGCACCTACTAAATTGATTTGTAAAACCATAACTACTAAGTAAATTCATAAGTCTAAACCTGCACAAACATTGTTCAAATATCTAAAGTGGCAAGAACGTCAAATACTAGACGGTGAAAAAGACAAATCAAATCAAGGAAAAACAAAGAAAAGCAAGGGGCAGTTCTCACAAAATACATGCACTTGACAATTTCAATCCTTATCACAAAGTGAGCACACAGAACACAATGTTTGCTACTCGTTTATAAATAAACTGGAACATTACATACATTCTGTATTCCTTGAGCAACAAGTTAAGACCATTACTAATTTTTTAACACCCTGAACTGTAGATGTCATTTACTTTACATTAGATTCATCACAAATTGTTAATGCTACATATTTCTATGAAACTAGCACATACTATGTATCTCTGAAAAATAATCTATTGCTATAGGAACTCATGAAAGCCCAGTTTGTGGCCAACATTTTTGTAAGTATAATACATCTTACATGTAATTAACAGGTCAATAATAATAACCAACTTCATGAATGCATGATAACTAATTAGTTCCTGATTGACAAAGACATAAAACATCTTCCATCAAAATTTAAAAGAGATCCATCACAGATGGATACATTTCAAAATTATCATTTCAGTCAAATTTAGATACTATAAGTTGATCTCTAGATACTCTTAACTATCACATTATTGTAATTATAAAGATGTAAAATCACATTCTCAAAGACCATTCATCACAAAGTATTTCCAATCAAAATCATAAATACTGCAGTAAGATATGCATTCTTCAAACTTAAACTTGATTGAGAAGTGATTACATGATTTGAACTTCATGCCCAAACATCTTTGAAAAATGAGGCTCAAAAGATAATTTAAGCTTCTATTACATCAGGTGACGAATCAAATCTGCTATTAATTCTCCAAAACCGAATGGTGTTGTCACTGCAAAGAATAAAGGAAAATGTTAGAATACAAGCAACCATAAAATAATCATGAGCACATGCTTTGATACAGGCAAAACCTTCAGAGAACACAACAAAAATATAATAAATAAACCAAATGTGCTGCGTGCTGCAAAAAGAAAGAGTCAACAACATCCGTGTGACACTGCAAAAGCATGCTTTGTCAGTAAGCCATAATGGGAGAAAAGGGGAACATCTGAAATTAGAAGAGGATCATTATTGATTTAGGCACAGGAATGTAAAAGGACCCTTAATGTTTTCTTAGATAAGTACATAGATCAAATCGATCATGCATAAATTAGGAAAAGTACTTGTAGATATTCTACACAAATGTAAATGAGTACTAATTTGTATTTTTGTAAATAGCCTGTTTTGAAGAATTCCAAGCATACTTAATCATTTAACATACAACTGGAATCACCCTTCTTCTCAGTACCAATATTAATATTACCAGTGTGTACACATTAGAGCTTACTCATGGTCATGGATAATGGCAAAAAAATCTGGAGTGTTCTCTAGGAAAAGCTGAGGGCAGAGCAAAAGTAATAATGCAAAGGACCAAATAAAATAGAGCTGAAAAAAAAATTGGGGAACATGCTACAGAAAATAGTGTGCTTGCCACTAATACTACAACAAGTTGAACAAAATAAAAAATTTTATAAGCTGTAGAAATGTTCTTGGCTTTGCCATTCATGAGAGACAACAAAATATCTGACATGCTACAGCAGCCTGATTTGTTTTAAAAGTTAAAGCGCTTCATCATCAGTGTTGAAAAAGCTAAATGATATCAAAAGTTGAAGAAATTTAAAAATAAATACCAGATCACAAAGACAACTCAAAGACATGACCTGTGGACATAGTCATGGCATAATTTTGCGCCAGACGCCACATTTTCACTTTCCCTGAGCTGTGAGGAAGGACAACAACAAAATAGACAGAGCCGTTAGAGTTTATCACCACATTGAAATCTCTGAGGTGCTAGCTACTCTCTTACAGTACAAGTGGACATTTTTACCTTGATGCTGTGAAGATTTGTGTTGAGTTGGTGGTGACAGAATTGATTGCATGAGAGTGAGCTTTTAATTCTCCTAATAATGTACACATATCTGCATTCCACAGTTTTAAGGTACCACCTCTGCAGCCTGACAGCAATAATGGACCACCGGGAATGAAAGCCAGACTTAAAACCCAATCCTTGTGAGCATTGTTCATTGACTGCAAAAAGTAATACAAAGTTAAAGTAACCCTTATTATGATTTTCTGATACTAAAAGACTAGTGGGGAATAATTTACCTGTATCAGCTCTGGTTTTGACAAATCCCACTTTTTAATGCACGAGTCTCTAGAGCCGGAGAAAAGAATCCCTCCACTCATTGCTAATGATTGTACACCGTCATAGTGGGGAGGATCCAATTTCACTCTTGGCGTTAGAACACCTTCGTTTTGATCAATTACTTCAAACACCTGCAAGTTTAAAATAAAAGTAGGATGAATTTAACCTTTTCACTTGAAGTTATGTATACAGAAGTCTTTGAAGAACACACCTTAATGTAGTGATCTCTTGAACCAGTTATAACTACATCCTCATGTGGTGAAACTCTCCCCACAGCTAGACAGGAAACAGCAGCTTGATGTCCACCATTAAGCTTAGCAAGCTCAGTAAATCTGATGAACAATTGGAAGTCAGGTACTCACACTCTAAAAAGCACAAACAGACCCATGTACATATCAAGGGCAGTACTTACGTTCGCAGATCCCAAACACCAACTCTGTCTCCAGCTGCAGAATACAGAACCTCTCCACTCTGATTAAGAGCTATATCATTGATCATACATTCTCCAGGAGGAATTTGTAGTGCTCTCACAGTATTGGTGAATGAAAGAGACCCATTTGTTGATTGCCCTGAAGAACTACATAGAAAAAATCAGATATTAGCCTGTTTATAAGCAGCTCTACAAGTTTACAATGAGCAGTCAAACTTCTTACCTGAGAGTTTTAATACATGCACTAGCTCTCATGTCCCAAACCTTTATATATGCTGAAGACACACTAAAAATAAGCCTCCGGTTTGGATCATATTTAACAGCAACAACATTTTTTGGATGACCCGTAAGAGTCAAAGTCTCCCTTCCAGAATGCAAATCCCACACCTTCACAGTCAAATCTGGAAATAAATACAAGTGTGAGAAAATAAAGAAGCATTTATGGTGCAAGTGTGTGTGTACTATGTGAAAAAAATACCTTTAGAAGAACTAAACATGAGATCATCAGTTGCAGCAACAGAGAGAACAGCACTCTTATGACCTTCAGCTACATGAGTACAAACAAGAGGAGCCTTCATTGAGACCTAATAAAATGATAAAAATTAATATTTCTTAGACTCAAAACAGAACAGGAAAACAATGACGGAAGTTGTAAAATAAGACACATACCCTGCCTGGGAAAGGTGTGATGGTTCCATGGTCTTGATGGTCACTGCTTTGCATTGTGCTGGAAGTCAATCTTGAGAAAACATTGACATCCCTGTCCCTATCTCTTGAGTTGAGACGACGGTAAGTTGGCGGGGAGTTAGGTGGACTTTTGTCCAGATCTTGCTCCCTGTTAAGAGTGTTAGTTTGTGTTAAAAAAGTTAAAAAAAAAATCTCCAGCTAAAGTTAATTTCATTAAAACATCTTCAAGTGATGTCAATTTATAATACATTTTCTGGAGACAAGACAGATAAAAAATTGTAAAGTGATAATGGTATGGTGCAAAAGTGGGTGGGAGATAAAAACCAACATAGAAGGGCTAGGGAAAAGGCAGACCTGTAGCGTGCAAATACAACAACTGGACAAAAAGCAGCACAAAAGCTACCCTCACCTCATTCTTTCCACATACAAGACAGAAAAATAATTTGTGGGAAGAAAAAGCGGCATGCTCACAAATAATCAATCCTGCATGTTGAGCTGTACCAGTCAAGTCCTTGCATGCAGATATGTACAGAGAGACTTCTGACATTGATCTAAATCAAAGTGTAGCAGAAAAATAAAACATGCATATAAAAAGTAGAGTTTCAAAAACAAATTTTATTTTCACAAATTAAAGCAAAAATATACAGGGACATAAGAAAACTTCAAGAGCCAATTGAGATGGTACAAATCAAATAAACACACATCAACCTTTAACTATAAAATTCATAGAAAAATGTCCTATTTGAATTACAACTGGATGATATATATTGAATTTAAATCTATTATTGTGATCTTTAGTATATGAAAAAAATGATGAAAACCAGCAGAAATATGAACCAAACTCCAGAGCCCAAATTCAAACAGCTCTGGGTTGGTAAGAAATGTGTTATATAACAGCTGGTTAAATTAGAATCTTTGCGCTTCTTCAAATGACAATGGGAACTCCCTGATTTGCTCTTTTAAATGTATTTATATTATTATAGTATATGTATAATATAAAATAAATTGATTCACAAATTGTTCAGTATCACATTAGTTACCATCTTTGGGTGGAGGGAAGTAAATACTTGTTTTCACATGCCTACAGAAACAATACATGTTTCCAAAGAGAATCATATATAAAACAGACAGTGGAAGTGAAGAAGATCTACGCATATATACTGTAGCATGCATTATATGGTATAATATAATATACCTCAGAAAGATCTACAAGGATAACTCAAATAAAAGAAGAACATATCTACAAAGAATATCTCATACAAAATACAAAAATAAATTAGTGAATCTTCATCAAAGGCCTACAAAAAGATGACAGGTAAAAGTGAACAAAAAAAAGTTGTCTCCATTTCCTGTTTTTTTCCCCCTCAATACAAATTTAACTTCTACATTAGAGGATTTTCAAATCAACGTAGCCTGAACTATGCATGCATGGTGCATGGGTCTTCAAATTGGAACCTACTTGAGAAGGTCTTGAGTTTCATGTTTACAGGAAGTTGTGCAAGTATCTACCAACCAACACAATCATGCAGTCTAATTTTGGTGCTATAATGTAGAATTTACACACATACACACAAATATCTTCAAATATCATGCAACAAACTCACATGGAGCCAGGTTTGCCAATCAAGTTTCCAGGACCCAGGACAATTGTGCGGCGGTTGATGCGGGGTGATGTTGAATCTTGGCGATCATAAGTCTTTCGTTGCATGACTGGAGATGCTTTAACCTCTGTCAAGGCTGGCTTTAGATTCATCCCCATATTCCTGTAGAAAGAGGGATCATGAAATAGTAAAAAGAGACTGCACTACAATAAATCATGAATCATGGAAGATACTGTAGAATAGCTTCCTGTCACCAAAAATTAAGGACTAAAACAGTAATCATACACACAAACAAGTTTACATTCTAAATTCTCAAGAAGACTGACCTTAATGACCCAGGAGCACTAGGAATACGTTGTATAGATTTTGCAGATGGTGGGGGCATTAAAGAATCACTTGATGTAAGAACCGCCTCTCGAGGACCAGAGGACAAACCAACAGAACTTGTCATTGAAGTGGTCATTGAACTTGCCACCGATGAGCTACCTACAGAGCTAGTGCTGACAGAATGGCCTAAGGGTGTTGGATACAGTAAGTCTTCAGGCAAAGCAGTTCGTCTTCGGATTTTGGGACCTGCGCCACTTACACTGCTTGTTCCCTTTGAGTTGCCATTTACACTGAATGCACAAAAAGTGAGAGATGCATAAGCAAACAAATTGTGCTTCAAAAGTGATACTGAACACAGTATTACAAAATGCTCCAAAGCTACTACATTGGCAAATACAACACAATTTTGATAAGCATTTTCACTTACTTGTCAACAGGGGAAGAGGAACGAGTTGAAGCAGCTGAGCTTGAAGAAGAACCACCAACAGCTCCCCCACTGCCATTTGTACTACCTGAGGCAGTGAGTTTTGATGATAGAATGTCAAGCTCATTGTTTCTGCACATGTGCTGCAGGAGTTGTTCTTGGAGATGGTTTGACTGTTCAAGCTAAAAACAAAAAAAAAAAACAACAAAAAAAAATTATTATGAAGTACTATGTAACTATTTAAAATAGTTTTGCAAGCTACAACCAGAAATACTTAGGAAATAAAATCAAATTGGAAAATAACTGACCTCATTCAGCCTTGCTTCTAGTTCTTTCACTGATAGCTCTCGCTGGGCAGCAATATAGCTTTGGTTTACTGTCATGTTGTAGAGTTTTTCTATCAAGTACCCTGCTTCTTCCAAATCAGTCATACTCATTGTTAATGAGGTGACATCAAAGGAATCAAATGTATCCTTACTCTCCTCCAGTTGCATAATACTGTGCTGAGCTTCAGTTATATTATCTTGGACATAATCAATGTTAGCCTGAAGATCCTCAATCTCATCTTCAAGTTCTTTAACCACAATTGGTTCATGTTTGTGAATGCGAGCTGAATCTCGTTTGCGAATTTTTAAATCCAATGTTTTACTGAGTGCTTCCCGCTCATTTAATAGCCTGCAACAGATGAAATTATGCATCAATTTAGCAAAGAATTTTCGCGTCTGGCGTGGTCCAAAACGAGTGTTTTTTCCCCACCAGACGAGGTGCAGTGCACTCCACAAATAACTACCGTACATACCTCTCCATATCTCTCTCCATGGCTGCGACAGTTCTCTTATTAAGGGCAACCTTGTTAATATTCTTTTCCACACTTTGCCACTTTTGCTTGGCCACTCGAGGTGAAAATGCACTCTTTTTTGCTAAAATAAATATTTCTCGATTTTAGAAGTAAGTAAGTAAGAATTAAATATGAAGTAATAATAATAAAATGTATTTCCAATTTCATACAATGTCTTTCTCCAACACGACCAGCTGCTTTGTTGCTAAGGCCTGGCTTTGCGAGGCGTCTTAACATGGTCACTTCTTCCTGTTTGCGTTTCAAAACAATTTCCTTTTGTCTTTTTTCAGCTTCCAATGTACGAATTTGGTTTTCATGACGACGTGAGTCTTTCTTCAACTGCGCTATCTCGCGATTTCGCCTTGCTTCAGTGTTCTTATGCCTCTGACTTTCTTCCCTCATTTGGTTTAACAGTTTCACCTAAATTCAAAAGAAAATTACAGCTTCTGAACTCATGAAATATAGTTCATATATAAATGAAATACTAACCTTGGTCTTTTTCATATCAGCTAGATCCGTCCGAAGTGTTTTAAGTTGAGTCTCATACTGAGTTTGACTTCGAACAAGACGATCATGTTCCTTTTTAGCTGATTGCAACCTGGTAACTTCTTTTTGCATATTTGAAAGTTTACGTTCATATTCTTCTTTAACTTTCTTGGCTTTATCTGTCTGTTGGTTGTTATGGCCGCCAACTAGCACATGAAAATAATTACAAACAATTAAACTATAAATCCTGAATTGTTACAAAATTTAGTAACTTGAATATAATACAGTACCTATAGAAGCAAGGACTTTGTCTCTTTCTTCTTGAGTAGCTCTTATCCTGGTCTGAAGCTGAGCTAGTTTTTCCTCATAGTGTTGTTTCATTGAATTTAAACGTCTTTGAGAAAGTTCCAGTTCCTCAATCAACTTTTGTTTAATATCAATTTCTGATGTGAGTTCAGCTAATTCAACTTTAATTTGGGTTGAGGCTTTTTCTTCTGAATCAGTATCACTATCAGAATCATCATTTCCTGAGAATAATAATATTTTTAGTATTTGCAAGTATTAAGGAGTCGTTTTTGTTTTCTTTTTTAAGGATAAATTTACCATCATCATCACTATCCAAATCAGGAGCTTCCATGAGTTGACCATCATTTCCCTCTTTCCCTGCATCATTGTCTTTAGTGGCAGGACAAGGAGGACGGCCTTTTGTGGCTAAAATATCTAAGTCTCTCTTCAAGTCCCGTTTTGCTTCTTGAATCAATCCATTTGTATCAGTTTCAAATCCAAAACCATGATCAAAACTGTGACCTAAACGTGTAAATGAAAATTATATAGGGTTTTTACTTCATAGCCAGGTGAGGGTACATATAAGAGAACAAACCTGTCATGGCTGCTCGAGGGCTTAGTGACGCCCTAATCTGGCTTTGTTTGCGCAACTGTTTGCATATAGCCTCAGATTCTAACAGTTTTACCCTCAGCTCTTCGATTTCCTTGATATAGTGTTTGACCATTTCCGTGACATCTGAATCAGAACCTAAAGGGGAAAAAATTATGATTAAATCAACAATAAAGACAATCTATGAGAAAAACTAAAATCATGAATTTTTTTGTCACCAGAATTAATCCATGTTCCAGTCGCTTTTTCAGCCAGTAATAATGTGTTCTTCTGAGTGAGAGTATCTATGGTTTCTTGCATGGCTTTGACACGAGTTCGTAAGTTATTTATCTCAGACTGAAGCATGGTGTTTTCGTGATACATATCATTTACGGTCTCAATTCCATCTTCCCCTAAAACGCGTTTTCCCTTGATAAAAAAAAGACGAACAATTACTTTACATGCAAACTTGCACCTATGCTTCACAGCATTTTCTTCTCTTTATAATAAACTTACCTGCTTGTACTCTAACAATTCCAATTCAAGTCTCTGAATCTCACCCCTCAGAATAGCAATAGTACGAGAACTTTTATCTTGATTGAGGACAACCTTGTTGCGAATATTACGAGCTCTGTTTGCATACTTAAGTGTGTTCAGTGTCTCCATAAAGTCTCTATCACTAGGTGAAACACAAGCTATCATCACAGTGCGGCTATTCCCTAAAACAAAAACAGATATACACCATACATTAAAGAATAATGTTGCATATTAAAGATTGTTGCATACATACTAGAAACCTGTAGTGTACATACCTCCAAGAGAATCCTGTAATAGTCTTGTGAGCTTGGAATCTCTATACGGTACATGTAGCGCTCTTTTAGACTTATCACCAAGTGCAGAAATTACATTTCCCAATGCAAGCTGTAAGCAAATGAAAAATAAGAAAATGTTGTTTTCAAGGTGACAAAGCGTAGAATCTAGTCGGATAAGAATTTTTGGGAATCAGAACTCACTAAACCACAGTTAATTGATATGCCTTCTCTTGCTCGTTCCCCAGTTGCTCCCGTGCGCTTCAGCCTTTCAGAGCCAGCAAGATCAACAAAGTGAAATTTGGCAGTTAACATCTCACACTCATTGGCCGTCTCTGTACCTCCATTGACAAAATCTTCATTTCCCTACAAAAATAAATACAAGTGTGCAATTTAACTTGCTTTCTACATTTTATATCTTGAAAGCTCAAGCTTATTTGGATTCTTCTTACCTCAATTTTAACAACTCTCTCTTGTTTTATGTAAATTGTAAAAATGGCATGTGATCTAGATGACTGTGAATTCATTTGAGTTGAAGCTGTTGTTCTTGAAAGAGCTCCCAGTCTAAGACATTGAAGAGCCTCTTCTGGTGTTTGCACAGCCTTGGTTGTAACTCCCACAAGATAAATACCACCTTCAGGATATTCGTGGATCTTTATGGCCTTTTTGTTCTGCGGAAACAATAAACAAAAACCCATGACGAATTGAAACCTTAGGCCGCAAAGTGAAATGAAAATGAGAGGACAGCAACTCACCTTATTACAGTAATGTTCCGAGGGATTGAACAAGTCGATTATCTCCTCGTTGTACAACTCCAAGAATTGGCACACAATTTTGAACTCGGGTGCTGGGGCTCCACTCTCCCTGGCGCGCTCCGTTCTGGCCGAGATGCCGTTGAAGAGGTGGTGGATGGCGCGCGGGATGATGCCCACATCGTCGGCCTGGAGCTCCACGTCGAACCCGGTTCCCATGGTGTAGGTCTTCCCCGATCCGGTCTAAGGAGATACAAAACAAGGGTATACGTGTAAAACAAACAGAAGAAAAGGAGAGAAACATTGGGTGTTTACTTCTCCCTTGCGATCGAAACTGGGCCACTGGGCCACGTACCTGTCCGTAGGCCAGCACGGTGGCGTTGTAGCCGTCCAGGGAGCTTTCGACCAGGTCGTGCACGCACGTATCGTACACGCTGGGCTGGTCCTGGCCGATATCGAAGACATAGTCGTACGTGAAGGCCTTGTCGGAGCCGAGCGTCACCTGGGGCTCGCCGGGCGTCACCGACGTGCACACGCGGCACGCGTCGATCACCTCGCGGGCGATCTGCGGCCGGACCCTGCGGGACAGACGGAAGAGCACTCATCAGCACGGGCACCAGCCATTCA